ATTTTTTATAGATATAAAAAACTGTATATAGTTTTGTGTATATATTACTGCATATATATGTTACTATATACTTAATGTAGTATATATTATATAGTTTTTTTTCTTCTATTTTTTTTTTCAGTTGTTTTGCTAAATTCTTTCTGTTTATAGTAGAGACGGGGTCTCGCTCTTGCTCAGGCTGGTCTTGAACTCCTGAGCTCAAGCCATCCTCCCAGGCCTCGGCTCCCATAGTGCTAGGATTACAGGCGTGAGCCACCACGCCCGGCCTATATAGTCGTAATGGATATTGATCTGAAGCTTTCTTTTTGGGAGATACTTACCTAGCTTTGTCATCAGGGTTGTACTGGCTTCATAATATGATTATAAACTGTTCTCTCTCCAGTTACTTATGAAGGGTTTGGGAACGATTGGTATTGTTTCTTTTTATAAATGTTTGCTAACTTATTTTTCTTATTTTTATTTATTTATTTATTTTTTTGAGACAGAGTCTGACTTTGTTGCCCAGGCTAGAGTGAGTGCCGTGGCGTCAGCCTAGCTCACAGAACCTCAGACTCCTGGGCTCAAGCGATCCTCCTGCCTCAGCCTCCCGTGTAGCTGGGACTACAGGCATGCGCCACCATGCCCAGCTAATTTATATATATTTAGTTGGCAATTTAATTCTTTCGATTTATAGTAGAAGGACGGGTCTCCACTCTCTTGCTCAGGCTGGTTTCGAACTCCTGACCTCGAGGCAATCCGCACGCCTCGGCCTCCCAGGAGTGCTAGGATTACAGGTGGGAGCCACTGCGCCCAGTATTTTTCAAAAAGATTTCTGTGGCTAGTTTTTTTTTTGAGGGTAACCTTTAATTCATAATTAAATAATTTTTTACATATTATAAATTACATATATTATTTTTATTTCTATTTGGTCCAGTTTCTGCAGTTTACATTTTCCAAAATATTTCTCTAATTCATCTCTAAGTAGTCTAATCTGCTCCCATTCAGTTTTCTATAGCAATCCTTTATATTCCTTTTAATCTCTATACTATTGTTAGTGAAATATCTTTGTACAATACTTATTATTTTTTTTAATGAATTAACTAATTTTTTTGAGACAGAGTTCTCCTCGGTTTGCTTGGGCTTTTTAGTGCCATGTGTCAGGACTTAGCTCACAGCAAACCAACTCCTGGGCTCAACCGCAGCCATGGGAATGAGAATGCCAGCCCAATGTACCTGAAAGGTGGGCCATCAAGCCAAAGAGGACTATTATTGAGGTTTGAAACCTAAATTTTGCTAGATTTTGGACTTGCTTGGGAACAGTTACCCATTTCTTTCTTTCCCTCTCATTTCTCCCTTTTAGCATAGGAACACCTATGTCTGGTTTCACGAATTTTGCCTTGATATGAATTCCATGTTGAGTCTCACCCATATCAGATTTGGATGATATTTAGATGAGACTCTGGACTTTAGGTGTTAGAGTTGGAGCTCTTGCAATGGAATTAAATGCATTTTGTATATAAGGAGGACACAGTTTGGGAGAGGTCAGGGATGGAGAGCTGTGGAATGAATTAGACCCTTTCATAATTCCCTATGTTGAAACCCTAACCCCCCGAATTTACGGAATTTGGAAATGACATCTTTAGGAAATCAGTGTGTTTAGATGAGGTGATGAGAGTGGGCCCCTTGGGATGGGCTTAGTGCCTTGTAAGAAGGTTATAAGGCACTCTGGTGCCATCTGCAACCCAGGAAGTGAGTCTTCACCATGGCTTGACTATGTTGGCACCTCGATGTCAGACCTCTGACATACAGAACAAACATATTAGGGTATAAATACCAAGGAAACCTAAGAAAAATATTAGCGAGCTAAAAGCAGAAATGTATAAACATGACTATACAACATTATCAAGTGGGATTTACTTCAGGAAGGCAAAGTTATTTTAATATCTTAACATCAATTAATGTAATACTCTTAATTAATTAAGAGAATGACCAAAAAAATCCTACAGTTATCTCAATAGGCACTGAATATACATTTCGAAAAACCCAACACCTACTCATGATAAAAAAAAAAAAAGTTATTACCACATTTAAATGTTAAATCTATTGCTTTCTCACACACTTTGAAACTATTAACACAAAATTATCTCCTCTCTAATTATATTTAACATGGTATTAAGAGTTCTAGGAAAGGGAATATTGTAGGAAAGTAAACAAAACCCTCCATATTTGAAAGGTTCAAATAAAGTAATCTTTCATCACAAAATAATCATGTATGCAAAACATTCTCATAAACACAAACACACACACCCCCCCCCACACACACACACAAGAATTAGAAGTAATAAACACACTTTTTGTAAAATAACAAGATATAAGATTAATTTTCTCTGTACTAACAATGAATACCCAAAATGAAAATGTAAAAAGAAATCCACTCATATTAGAGATAAAAGAAGGAAATAGGAATAGATTTAGCAAAAAACACAGGACCCTTATACTGAAAAAACTACCAAGTATTACTGACATATATCATAGGAAAGCTAAATATTTGAGTGGACATGTGATGATCAAGGATTAAAATATTCAAAATTGTTCAAACAAATATCCTTTCCAAATTGATCTATAGATTTAATACAATCTGTATCAAAATCTAAACATCTTTTTTTTTTGGAGAAATTGAAAAGCTGATCTTGAATGGAAGTCCAAAGGACACAGAATTGTTAAATACAAAAAAAGAAGAAGAAGAAAAATTGTAGGAGTTTGACTTCTTGATTTCAAAGCTTACCATAAATCTACCATATTCAAGTCACTTTGTACTGATGCAGTGATAGACTTACTCATCAGTGAAACAGAATTCAAAGTCTAGAAATAAACACTTATATTGATGGCCGATGGATTACTGACAAAGGTACAAAGCATTTCCTTGGGGAAATGATAATGTTTTCAACAATTGGTATTGTTCCAATTAGATATACATGTGCAAAAAGATTAATTTACAATTATATCTCACATTATACACAAGAATTAAGTGAATCTCAAATCCTACTATAAGAATTAAAACTGTAAAACTTTTACAAGAAAACAGAATAAAAGCAAAACATTTTTTTTTCTGAACTTGGCTTAGGCAAAGATTTCTTAGACATGACATCAAAATTACAATCCACTAAAAATTGAAAAAAAAATTGATAACTTCATTAAAATTAAAAGCCATTGTGTGCCTGAAGATGCAAATGCTTAAAAAAAAAAAAAAAGCCATTGTGCTTCAAAAGATACCATGGTAAAAATTTAAAAAAAGATAGTCTAGAGACTGGAACAAACTATTGTAAATATTTTCTAGTGAAAGATTAGTATCTAGAATACATGAAGAACACTTACAGGTTAATATTAAGAGGCAAATAACAAGATTAAGAAATGAGCAAAATATTTGAATAGACATTTCACCAAAGAAGATAGGTTAATGGCTAACACAAATGTGAAAAGATGTCAAACATGATTAGAGGAATATGAACACAATACAAACGCAGTCATTAGAGAATTAAAAATGCAATGTGACAACAGTCTATGGCCACTAGAATGGTCATAAGCAAAAGGACAAAAACAAATATTAGCAAGGAAGTAAAGTTATTGAAATTCTCATATATTGCTGTTGGTAACAGAAAATGGTATGACTACTTCAGAAAGCATTTTGTACACTGTGTGCAAGATCCACTCCCACCAAAGGACCTGGTAAGATTATGTAGCCTTCCTTTTAAACATGAAACGACGAGACATTTGAATAAAACGTTTAACATTAAATGTAGGTGCCCAAAACAAGGAGATAATAATGAAAGGGTGTCTGTTGAGAGCTAGAGTCTTGAAATAAAATGTTAATATCGTCAATAGGGAGGAAAAGAAAATTTTGCATCCGTGAAACAAGAATAGAGATCTCTGAAAATGAATGTACAAGAAACACACATTGTGAAGTCCCAAAATATTTTTTTTAAAACTTCATGTATTTTTGATGATACTGTTGGGAACTTCCCACAAAATGGAGTGGGGGTGGGGGGAAAGATGGACAAAAAGATAATGAAGTTATTTCAGGAGTTCTAAATTTCAAATAATTGTAGTTTCATTTCATGAGGAAATCCTGAGAGGAATAACCTTCAGGAACTATAACACTCTCTTCTATTCCTAATATAAACCACTGTTTTCCTACCTACCAAAAAATGTTATGGGTGGGAAACTCCTATTTCCTCTTTAAACAATATAAATACTGCCAAGCATTATTTCTAAAATTTAAAAAGGTACTAGAATATAGTAAGTGTCTATAATGATTCTAAGCATATCTGTAAACTGCTATAAAGGCGGCAATTATTTGTAGCTACATTATTATTTGTAAAATTAAGAATAAAAAATTTTATAGAAATATGATTCTCAACTAATACTGATAGTAATCATTTAAAATGCATTAAGGCAGACCTAAAGCAAAATTATCATTAATTCTCTTCTGTCAAAAAATTTATTCCAGATTGTTTTTATAGTCCCTCATTGCTAAGACAAAGTGACATGAGGCAAATAAAGCAGATTACACTTACCAATTGTTTTTCAACTACCACATGCATTTCTATGTACTGAGATAAATCTGGTTGTGGCTGGAAAAAAATGCACAAACTTTATGTCAAAATTAAATGACTTAAATATTTTTAGTGTATACCACTACTATTAATGAACTCAATATTGAAAAATGCAATTTTACATAAGGAAGTAGAATCAGCTAATATAAGCAAAACTAGATATCGCAAAATCTTTTTCAACTATTTATTTTATCCCTTCTGTGCACCTAATTAACCATTTAATTGACTCCAAAAAACAACTCTCCTCTATCTTTCATTCTCCATATTCTCTTTGGTACTGAGCAGTTCATATTATTCTCTTTTCTGGGTGAACCCAAATGCATGCAGATCTATCACCTTAACGGATGCCATTATTACATTACTATGTGGTATGATTTTGGATACAACCCTGAAAAAAATAAAAACACATTCCTACATTTAGGGGATGAAATTTCATATAAAGGGTAAAGTTAATCCCGTATAAGTTTATCTCAGGAAAAGGTGGGGAACAGAGAGTCACAGTGATGCACGTTCTTAAACTAGACCACAGATATCTCCAGAAGGATATGGCATTAGCCACTTAGGTTATAAAAGTTAAATCAGACACAGATGCCAGGGCTCACGGACTTTGAACTCTGGCTTAAATTTCCTGTGACTTCAGTCCTGCTGAAAAATGGGGCTAAGTAACTATTGCTGCAACAATTACTAAGAAAAAATGTTATTTTCATTACTACTGTTACAGAAGGGTGAAGAAGCTCAGGAAATTTCACCCCAAAATATGACTCGTTGGTATAGAGTATTTTGAATTAAAGGCCCTAAGAGAGCAATAGGCTTTCCCTCTTTTTTCATAAAACCAGGCTCATCAAAAAGAACAGTTGACTTCCCTTCCCTCCTTCCCCTCAATGTATTGCAGGAAAAAAGATCAAGAATGTAACCAGACCTTGCCCAAACCATTTTAAGATAATACCTGTCTCTCAGGTTAATTTACTTTTCCAAGAAAATCATTATCAAATCAATCTGTTCATCTGCCCCCATCCATTCATTCTCCCAAGTATGTGTTCATCCTCCCACTCAACAGAACTACCTGTATTCCTCATTGTACCCTTCCCTCTAAAATGAGGGTATATAAACTTCTGGACTCCACTGGGAAATTGGATAATCACCCTGTGGTTCTCCCCATGCATGGTAAATACATCTTTCTTTCATTAAACTTCCCTATTGTGAGTTGATCTTTCTGTGAACTTTCTAGTGCAAAGGGGGGTTTCCCCTCAACCCCACAGGGCAATCTGGAAGAAGGGCGCTAGGGAAAAATTGTAACACCGGCTTTACGAGCACTTTGACAATATAATGTAGGTAACACAAAATATGTTATCACTAAAATAGCAATACAACGTAAGTGAACTGGAGAAATATCACCATGTAGAGTAGGAGGATCAAACTTCAGAAATTGAGGAAGCTTTTATTATGTTTATTTAATTTTATTATTATTTTATTTTTGGCTTAATGATTATCAAAAGTTATTTTTATTAAAATAATTTTAACGAACAAATAATTATATATATTTACAGGATACAATATATTTTGATCCATGTATACATTGTAGAAAGATTAAATCAAGCCAATTAATATATCCACCACCTTACCAACTTATTATCATTTGAATTTGAAATTCATGTGAGAAATATCATGTGAGAAGATTAAAAATCTCCTTTTAGCAATTTTAAAATATATGTTATTATTAACTACAGTCACCATGAAGTACAAGAGATCACTAGCACCTATTCCTCCAGTCTAACTGAAATTCTGTGTCCTTTAATCAACATCTCCCCTTTCCATGACTATTTCTAACTTGATAGGGGCAATCCAGCCAATTCCAACTACACTTCTTGTTTCTTATGTAAAAGTCTATAGAATTTAGGGGAAGGAAATCAGTAATAACTGTGTTCCAGTACAGTATTATTTACACAAACAGGCTGTGGGCCAGATTTGGCCTGAGGGCCACAGTTTGTCAACTGCTGATCAGACTAACCACTAAAATTATTATATTCTAAAAAATGCTTCGTATTTACTTAATAATATAATATATACAATTATATAACATGATTATATAGTATATAATGCAAAATACACAATATATAATTTAAAAGTTCATTAGAGGAGAAAAATAAAATAATTTAAAAAATTGGTTATTGAAAAAGATGTATTAGTAGCAGCATGGGAAAGATCTTGGGAAAAAATAATTAAAAATATATAAAAGCAGAAAGAATAAAGGAATAAGGAACACAAGAGCCAGATAAGAAATGACCAAGCAGTAGATTTAATCCAAATTATATGTGTGTGCACAAAAGTAAACACAGTAAATGACCTGTGGGAACTAAAACAGTTGAGCTCAGAGAGGTAGAGCATAGAATTGGGTATTTGACCTGGAAAGAGGGGAGGGGAGGATAGACACAGGTTGGTTATCGGATATAAAATCACAGCTAGGTGGGAGGAATTCACTCTAATGTTCTGTAATACTGTAGGGTGACCTATAGTTAACAATAATTTATTGTATATTTTCAAATAGCATTAAGGGAGAGTTTTTAATGTTCCCAACACAAATAAACAATAAATGTTTAAGGTAATGAATATGCTAATTACCCTACTTTGATCATTACACATTGTGTACATACATACACTGAAATATCACTCTGTACCCTATAAATATGAGCAATTATTATGTGCCAACTAAAAAAAAAATGAACTATCTTTATTCAAGATGACATGGCCATGTACATAGAAACTCACAGAATCCAAAACTAATAAACAATTTCAGCAAGTTTGCAAAATACAATATCAACATAGAAAAATCACTAATTACAAACACTAATAATGAGAAATCCAAAACTGACATAAAAATAAAATATGCAATAACATCTAAAATAATAACACAAAAGTAAATTTAACAAAGTAAGTTTTATTGAAGACATAGACTGAAATACAAAAATGTTGTAAGAAAGAAATTAAAGAAGACCTAAAAAGTAAAATCTATCTAATAGTAATGGATAGAAAGAGCTGATATTATTGAGATAGCAATGTTCCTCAATTAATCTACAGACTCTACACAGTCCTAGGTGAATTTAAAGGTAATGCATTTAAAAATTCATTTGGAAATTCATAACAGCCAGAATACCAAAAGAATCTTGAAAAAGAAGAATACTGAAGGATGTACACTTACCAATTCCAATCATAGTACAAAAATACAGCAATAAAGAGAGTGCAGTTCTGGTATAAGGATGGGCAGAAAGATCAATGGAATAGAGCTTCGAGTCCAGTAAATACCTGATCATTTTCAATTGGTCTTGGAAAAATGGACCATGAAAATTCAGTGGAAAAAAAGAATAATCATTTCAACAAACGGTGCGGGGACAACTGGGTATTTATGTGAAAAAGAACAAATTTGGACCCTGATCTCACCGTACACACACACACACACAAAAATAACATAAAGTGCATCATATATCAAAATGGGATTCAACAACAAAACTTTTGGAAGAAACATAAGAGCACAAGGTAGAACCTTGGTGCAATGATTAATTTTATCTGTAAACGTGGCTGGGCTACTGTGCCCAGATAACAGGTCCAACGTTATTCTGGATGTCTCTGTGAAGGCGTTTTTCAGATGAGATTAACATTTAAACTGGTAAACCTTCAGTAAGGCAGATGACCCTACAGGATGTGCTTGGACCTCATCCAGTCACTTGATTGTATATCTAGAACAAAGAGTATTTCCTAAGAAAGAAGGAATTCTGCTGGCAGACAACCTTGGTCTTAAACTGCAACTGTTCCTTGGATCACCAGCCCTCCAGCCTATCCCCCAGATGTTGCAGCTATCAAGCCTCCACAATCATGTGAGCCAATTCCTTAAAATACCCCCCCTTTCTCTTTCTCTCTGTCTGTATTTATTGTGTATGTACATTATATATGGTGTGTGTATATGTGTATATATAACATACATAACGGTATGCTACATCCTGTGGGTTCTGTTTCTCTGGAGAACCCGAAGAATGGGGTACAAAGGAACAGAATCTTAAATCTTCTCAATTGGTTCCCGGGTCTCTGGAATTTCATCTCTGATTAGATTTAAAAACACTCATACAAGGAGCAGTCCATAGCATGAGGTAGCAATAGAGATATGCAAAATATCACCGCCGAATACTCCTGGTTAAACACTTACGAGAAGCATGGGTCAAGAGTTCTGAAAAATTATGAAACTACCTCTAAGGATTATGATAAGATAAAAAGTTTCTGGTGCATGTATTCGTATGTGTGTGTATGTGTGTGGGGTGAGGTATAAATAAATAATTTACCAGGAAAAATAAAGAGTTTATATTGCTGTATGGTAATAACCATAGAGTTTACTCTGTTAATCACCTACCTCTATGCTTTTTATTTTATAGGACATGTCTCTTGATTCAATATCCTTTATAGCATATAAAGCAATATCTGCATTCTTAAGGTTCACACGGTAAATCACATGTTCAAAACCAATCGAAGACTCCAGGGGTTCAATTCCATAACTAATATTCTCAAACTGTAGTATGCCCCTACAGATTTCAAAAAAAAAGTGAATAAACAAAATAATGTATTATGAAAAAGTCAAAAATGCCATTTTGTTTTTTAATGATATGCAGATTATTTTTTAGTCTTAGTCGATAAAGCAAGAAAAAGTTACTGAGTATGTACACGCTTACTGAGCATCATAGAATAGTAATACTATTGGTATTTGCCTAGCTAGTAATATTTCAAGGTCTCCAAACATACAAAAAATTCTTAATTTGGCAGAAGGGTAACGGCCATTGTAAGTATTTTCATAGTATGCTTTTCCAATGGCAGATTTCCCACAATAGCAACACATGAGTTTAGAACCACAAAATATTATTTTTAAATTTTTTAAATAATTTACAAGTAAATGCTTCATTTTATAACTCTCTAACTCCATAGAATCATAGATCACAACCTGATTCCATTACATGTGCTAAGGATCACCATAGAATTTGGATAATCTTCAATATATCCTTGGTAGTAGCAGAAATTCTGAAACACAAAGATAAAATATATATATATATGTTTGTTAGGACAGTTCATGTTAAAGATGCTGTTTCAAATATTTTAAAACATATATTTTTTTGTATGTATGCATCAAATATTCATTGTTTCTAAAGTGGATTTATAAGATTATTAGATGAACATATGGCTCAGTTTTCTAAAATGTTCCCCAAGGGTCCATAAAAAATAATCACATTTTCACATTTTTTTCATGTTATTAAAAAAAAGCATGACATTCTAAGTCATTAGGATAAAGTAAAAATCATCAAAACTTATTTTCTCATACTCTTTTGACTTAATACTCCATGGTAGAAAAGCAAAACGAATCTAAAAGAGAAAAAAAAAATTTTTGAAACTCTGAGGCTAATGGTAGAGTAGCTCGCATAGAATTAACCCTCTTAAAGATACCAATTATAAGCTCTGGAAAATACATTTTTTTTTTAAACTTCAACTACAAAGTAATGCAGAAGAAGAAAGAATGATGCAATCAACACTAGAGAGAAGACAACCGTATTTTCTAAGATGCTCATTACATGGGTTTTCACTCAAAGGCACCCCACCTCCCAAGCAGGGCAGCACAACAACAGAAAAATACATCTCACTGGCTTAAGGATGGAAGCCACGGTTTCAAAAGTGCCTGAAGTTGAGGTGCAATAGCCAGGAAAGGAGGGAGGAACAGAGTGTGGACCCACAAGGTGAAGTGTTGACTCAGGTGTAAGCTCTTTACTTAACATCTGAAGTGAGAGTGTATGAAAGACATCTCCAATAGCCTAGAAGGACCCGAGACCAGAAAAGCTGAGAACAGAGATGAGGTTTTGTCTCTTCAAACACAGGAGACTAGAGTTTTGATGCTGGCTCTAGCCAAGTTAACTGTCTGCTAGAACAAGAATAAAAACTCTTTAGTGAAAGATTCACGGAGTTCTACAATGTATTACTGAATGTTGCCACTGTATCATTTAAAGATACATTAAATCTGTGAATAAAAGAAAAATGTGGCCCAGAGTTAAGAGAAAAATCAGAAAGAGAATTTACCTCAAAATAACCCAGGTCTTAGAATTAACAAGAAATGACTTTAAAACAGATATTTAAAATGTGACCAAGAACATAAAGGAAAATTTGGGCATGATAAAAGGGAAGCAACTAGGAAATTGAGCAGGGAAATATAGATTATAAAAAGCCAACTAGAACAAAAATATATTTAAAATGAAATTACACTGGAAAGTTTTTACTGCACACTGGAGATGGTAAAACAAAAAGGTAAAAATACACCATAAAAATTATCAAATCTGAAAGAAACTCGAGAGAAAGGAAGCCTTAAAAATTTAACATAGCTGCAGCAATCTGTGCAACAGCATCATCCAACATACGTTGAATTAGAGTCCCAGAGAAATGGAAAGAGAAAATGTGTACAAAATATATTTGAAAAACGGTGTTTTTGGGGAGGTGATTAGGTTATGAGGGTAGAGACCTCATGAATGACATAAATACCCTTATAATGGTCTGAAGAAGCCAAGAAACCAGAGTCCTACCTTTTCCAAGTGAGACAACTGCTCTATGAACTATGAAGTGGGCCCTTGCCAGACAATGAACCTACCCACTTCTTGATCTTGGATTTTCTAGTCTCTGGAATTGTGAGAAATACATTTCTGTTGTTTACAAGCTTCTCAATCTATCATAATTTGTTGCAGCAGCCCAAACAGACTTAGACACTGTGAGAGTGACAAGATATTAGATTTAAAAGAAACTGAATTCAAAGTATCCATTGTAATTATGTTGAAAGAATTATTGAGAAAACCATAATTTAAAAATATAAATGGATATATGATGATAATGTCACAGTAAATGGAGAATATCAATAAGTAGATATCTAATACATTATATTTAAAAGAAATTCTGGAGTTGAAAACTATAATAATTGAAATGAAAAACTCACTATAGTATATTTGAACTGCTAGAAGAAAGAATTAACAAACATAAGGGTAGATAAACAGAGGTCATGCAATTCAGAGAACAGCAAGGGAAAATGGTGAATAAAAATGAAGAGTCTCACAGAAAAGTGGAACATCATAAAGAACATACTGTGTTCTTATAGAAGTACTAAGAGATAAGATAAAAGAGGAGAAAAAATATTCAAAGAAAACATGACCAAAAAAATTCTCAAATTTATTTACAAACATTGACCTATATATCCAGAAAGCTCAATGAACTCCAAGTAGGATAAATACAAAGAGATTCATACACATGTTATAGTAAAAATGCTGAAATACAAATAAAAAAATCTTGAAAAGAAATAAAAACTCATAAAAGGAAACTCCAAAAAGATTAACTGCTGACTTCTCTGAAGAAATAATAGTTTAGGAGGCACTTGACTAACATATTCAAAGACCACAGATGGAAAACCAAAAAGCAAAAAAATGAGAAAATATTAATAAGGATCTTATATCCAGTATAGCTATATTTAAAAATGAAAGCAAAATAAAGAAACTCCATATAAACAAAACTGAGAAAATTTGTTTTTAGCTGCTCTCCCTTATAAATAATACTTAAGCACATTCTTTGGGTTAAAACTAAGTTTCCCCAGATGATAGATAACCCATATGCTTTTCTGCTGTTGGTAAGCAACTCTTCTTTTCAACATGAACTCCCTTGGACACTTTTTATGAGGCAGGTCATCTATTGGTGACAAACTCCCTCAGTTTTTATTGTCTGGGAAAGTCTTTACCTGGCCTTCATTATTAAAGAGCAGTTTTGTTGGGTAAAGTATTCTTGTTTGTCTTTTTTTTTTTTTTTTAACTTTCAGTACTTTGGCTACATTATTCCACTCTCTCCTGGTCATAAGGCTTTTGCTTAGAAATCTGAATGCCCATTTCTTCCATGGATTTGGGGAATTTTGAACCATTTTAAAAATAAGCTTTCTGCCCCTTTCTCACTTTATTCTCCTTTTAGAACTGCCATATGTTTATTGGTTTATTTGATGGTTTCCCATAAATCCTGTAGGCTTTTTCACTGGCTTTAATTTATTTTTTCTTTTTGTTCCTCTGACTAGATAATTTGAAATGACCTGTTTCCATGTTTGTTGATTCTTTCTTCTACTTGATAGAGTCTGCTTTCGAAGTTCTCTATTGAATTTTTTAGTTCATTGTATTTTTTATCGCCATGATTTCTGTTTGGTTTCTTATTATGATTTCTATTTTTTATTTAACTTATTATTCTGTTCATTTTTTGATGTTGCTTATTTATCTATCTGTGTTCTCTTATTTATCTATCTGTGTTCTCTCTCTTCTTTAAGATGATAACTTTGAATTCTTTGTCAAGTATTTTGTGAATCTCTATTTCTATAGAGCCAGTTGCTGGAGCTTTATTATTAATAGTATTTTCTTGGTGTCATACTTTCCTCAATTCTACATAATTATTATAGTATTGCAATGGTGTTTGTGTATTTGAAGTAGCAGCCACCTCCTCAAATCTCTACAGACTAAGTTTAGCAGGTATAGATAGACCTTCACTAGTCATCCTAGTCAGAGATTCTGTGCTTGTCAGTTGGCAGGGTCCACAGGCAATTTGGCTGGTAGAGTCCATGGGCAGACTTGCTGATAGGATTCCTATGCTGGACTATCAGGCCCATAGGCAGGTGATGTTGATACTCTGCCCATGAATAGGCAGGGCTGGAACATGGTCTATGGGTGGTCTGTTGGAGCTGTTGCTAGGATGGTGGGTTAAGTATGACCACTTCAGGGACCGCTGTTGGTTCCATGATTGGCAGGCATGGCCTCTGCCATGTACACAGCCAGAAGAGACTCTCTTTGAGAAACTAGCCTGTCTACAGGACTTGCGTGCACTTGGGGCTGAAGCTGTGACTGCACGCAGACAGAGGTGCTTGTAGGACTCTACTCGGGTCCACATAGTCAGTGTGTCTGCTACCAGGGTCACAGGAAGGCATGATTTCCACCCATGTTCCTGGGTGGATGGAGCTGCTTCCACATCCATGTGAGAGTGGGGCTGGAGCCAAACTGCTTTCAGTTCTGCAGCCAGGTCCACGGTCAGTGGACCTCCTACTGGGGTATGAGGTATGGGGCTGCTTTATCAAAGAAGTTTCCCTGGCCTTGTGCTCCACCAGAGTGTCACAATCTCCCTCCTGAATCCTGTAGCTTTCACAAAGGAAATGTGTCCATGGATGTTGCCAAACCAATGTTTCTGTGGGGAAAGAAGGGCTTGGGAATTCCAGTTCCTCCATCTTTCTGATGTCGCAGTCCACCACTGGAGTATTTTTAACTCCATCAAAATGTTTTCATTGGTATATTACTCCTGGAATTTTTATTGGCCTTTAATTTATAGTTTATTTTCCTACTTGATACCTAAATTTTTAATTTGCACCACTTCCCACAAACCATATTCCATTCACTCAATATGCCCATATTTCTATTTCCATTTTATTTCATAATTTTGTATAAAGTATTTATGCTTCTATTTTCATCACCAATTATAAGTTATATCTCATACATTATAAAATGAAGGTATAAATAGCTTTAACTTTCCACCATACTTTGTCTCCTTCTTTACAAATGTGATTTATAATACCCAGATTGATAACATTTCTAATTCTGTGGAGCAATCAGCAAATTATATTAACCTTATATATAGAATGATATTTCAAAAGTTATAAATGAATAAATAAATTATTTTTTAGTCAGCATATGATAAAATTTTAGTGGGGACATCAAAAGGTTTATATTATTACTCAATTTCCTTCTGTAATTTTTTAAATTTTCATCAATTTTCATCATTGTCATTTCTTACACTCTTTTCCTTCACTATATCTTGTTCAATATTCTATTTGCACTTGAAAAGAATGTATATATTATTATTGTTGTGTAATCTTCTATAAATGTCAATTAGATCAAGTTGATCCCTAGTGCTGCTCAAGTCATCAACATACTTCCTGAGTTTCTTTCTACTTGATTCATTAATCACTGGTAGAGGAGTGTTTAAATCTTCAATTATAATTATAATTTGTCTATTCTTCCGTTTCTGTCTATTTATGTCATCCCAGTAATTTATCTTTTAATCATGATGACTATTTCTTTGGTTGTCTTGGAGAGATCATAATATCCAGGACAATGATGAATGCCTTACATTTTGTCCTGCTCTGAACATTTGGAACAATTTTTTTCCTTGCCTAACTGGTGGGATTTTTTTCTTTTTTTGTAGATGCTTCTTTTTTTACCATGATTTTTTTACCAAATCATAATATGATTTTAGAAATGATAAACATTTTGGACTTTATAAAAAAATAAATGATTCAATGAATATACCTATTTTTTCAACCAAAATTAATGAAAAATTTCCTAGGCTAGAGATAGGTCTGAGACACTGGTAAACATTATTTGCATGGAAACATATTATCCTTATATTTAAGATCAACATTCAACAACTTACCACATTTATGATATTAATGAAGCATTTTTGGATTGGTCTTTTTAACTGTACATTTATCTCTCATGGTTGCTTCCTGGGATGTAGGAAGCAGAGAAAGGTAAGGTTGAATGATAAAAATTCTGGTGTGGGATATTGTGGCCTCTTTCATCTTTTTGTGTCTGATTATAACTCTGCCTCTCTCTCTCTGCCTTCAATCTGATGAAGAAGAATCACTCTCATTCACACACATATAGACATATACATTTGTGTGTATAACACGGTTTGACAGTATGTGTTATTTATATATTTGCAGAGACTATAACTTACTGACTCACATATATTTGTCTACTCTGTAGCACAAAAATCAAATTAAAACAACTGACTATATCTATTCTTTATTCTGTTAATATGTTACACTAAGGCACATATAAAACTACTTTAATTTCAAAGTATTTGATTGATCCACTATATAGTAATCAAGCATACAAATGGAAAAAAAAACAACAGAAATTGATAGGGCAGGGCAAAGGTAAAAACAGTATTTTAGGCATGGGTAATCCCTGAAATTTTATTCATACTTCTCTATTTTTTACAATAAATTGCAGACATTATTAAATGAAGTGCCAGATCTTCCAAATATATGAAAATTTCATATACTCCTCAATTTACGTGAAATTTCACATGTACTTATTTGGTTATTAAGTCTACTTCAGAGAAGAGTACGAATTTTCCTTTCATTCCCAGATTTAGCTTTCCTGATTCAAATCATGTTTTTTTCATTGTATTTCACAACATATCCTGTCTCTATTGTCTCAGGTACATAAATACATACCTTTACATCATCATGAAACAAAACATTCAGAAACAGCACAATCATATCTTGTTTCATTAATTATCTGTTTAATATGGTTAACTCAGTATACATCAGAAAGGAATGATTAAATTCATACCAAAACAAAGCATAACCCCAACCTTTGTACTCTGATAACATGTGATCCCTAAATAAGTTGATCAAAGAAGCTCACAAGACAAAGGTAAATAGACAATAAAAAGACATACCTGAAATGCTTCATCAAAAGGTTTCATAATTTCTGTGCCATTATAGCCATAAACTCTAAAATTATGAGGTAAAAAAGTTCTGTAAAACAAAGATTAAAAAGTATTTAGTGCACAAATTTGTTCCCTAAACTTCTATTTTGAAAAAGATATTTACTGTATTAATTACAGCTAGGTAGCTTGGCATAAAGAGAGAGGGAAGCACAGAGAGATTTTATTGCATGTATGAGTTCTGTTTTAATTTTTACTAAAAATTTCTAGTCTTGGGATCTTGCTTCACTCGCTGTATTGGTGCGCTGTTTTTCAAAGACACTAGGAAAGCTTTTGCCTTGGGGCATTTGCACCAGCAGTTGTCCCTTCCTGGGATGTTCCGCAGCATGGTTCACTGTCTCATCAACTCCGAATCTCTGCATATAGTCCAACATCTCGGTGAGGCTTATCTTGACAAATTTACTTAAAAATTCAACTTTTTCAATCACCAAAGGATAGGATTTATGAACCATACTCCTAGTTTGCTCTGTATTTGCCCAAGCATATATCACCTTCTAACATTCCTCCGATTTCATTTATTTATTATACCATTATTGATTTCATCTGATGATAACATAAAGTCAGAGATATGTATCTATTTTGTTTGCAAATGCATCCCAAGCACTTAAAAGAATATCTGGAAAATAGAAAATGGTCAATAGGTATTGAACTAATATAACCTAAATCCAATAAATCACATGGTGATCTCACATTAAAATATTTTATTTGTCAATATGGGAGGAATATGCTAAAAAGAAAAAAAAAAGGGTAGGTGCATGTGTCTCAGTTTAATTTTCCAAGTAACTCTAAGGCTTTGTGACTTGCCATGGCGGTCTAGATTTGTTGAAGTAAAAAGTGAAAGATCCAGACCAAAATTCACTGACAAGCAAAGCAAAGTTTTTGCATGCTTATGGTTAGAAAAAGAAAATGACTCACAGTGGGGTGGGGTTCCAGAGAACACACAGATTCTGAGTTGAAAGACCTATGAAAATACTTAGCTAGTGATCTAAGGCCACTGCTTCATGGCAAAGAAAGGTAGAAGCCAAACACCCACATTTGGCCCAAGGAGAAAGCCACCGCTAGGAAATTTAAAAGGAAGCAGAACTTCTGATCATCATGTAGGACTTGGATGCAAATAATGAACACTTGAGGTATGTCAAACACATAGATTTTCTCCCTCTAAAACCATTTTTCAAAGTCACATAAAGAGAGCCAAGCTTTAAATCTCTGAAAATCAGAGCAAATTTTTTGTCAAAATTGATGACACAGTATTAAGACAATGTATATAATTCAAGCGGGTAAAGGCAAGGAAAAATTATATATATATATATAATATATATATATATATATACCATCAGAAAAAAAAGATTAATGAAAAGCAAGATAAAATTCTTCAAAGTATCAATAGGATAAAAAAAAGAAAGACATTACCTTTGAAAAACCAAAAATAATACTGACAGCTACCTCATCAATAGAAATGAAAAGGCAGGGCATGGTGGTTCACTCCTGTAATCCTAGCACTCTGGGAGGCCAAGGTGGGCAGATCGCCCAAGGTCAGGAGTTTGAGACCAGCCTGAGCAAGAGCGAGACCCTATCTCTACTAAAAATAGAAAGAAATTAATTGGCCAACTAAAAATATATAGAAAAAATTAGCTGGGTGTGGTGGTGCATGCCTTGTAGTCCCAGCTACTTGCGAGGCTGAGGCAGTAGGATTGGTTGAGCCCAGGAGTTTGAGGTTGCTGTGAGCTAGACTGACCCCATGGCACTCTAGCCCAGGTAACAGAGACTCTGTCAAAAAAAAATATATATATATAGAAATGAAAAAAGCCAGAAGACAATGGAATGATAATTTTAAACAGGGTAACAACATTTCTTAAAAGACATACTAGAATTTTTTCTACCAAACTTTTTTTAAGAATATGGTTAAGTGGTTACACATGAATTTCCTGGTTACTTTTTCTATTTCTGTAACAAACATCATTGGACTTTTGATAGGGATCATATTGAATGTGTAGATTGTTTGGGGTATTATGGAGATTTTAACAATATTAATTCTTCCAATCCATGAATATAGCTTATATGTCTATTTATTTGGTATCTTCTTCAATTATTTCATTAACATTTCATACTTTTCAGTGTACAAATCTTTTACCTCCTTGGTTAAATTCACCTAAATAGCCAAAACAAACTTGATCAAGAAAAGCCCAGCTGAAGGCATCAGACTAACTGACTTCAAAATAAGATGCTAAGTTCTTAATATAATAACCAAAACAGCATAATACTGGTATAAACACAGACATACAGACCAGTGGAATGTAATATATATCAGAGAAATAAATAAACATTGCATGGTCTCACTTACATGCAGACTCTAAAAAGTTCAAACTCACAGAAACAGAGAGTAGAATGGTGGTTGTTTGAGGCTGGATGTGAGGAAACGGGTAGATGGTAAAAAGGTACAAAGTTTCAGTTAGGGATGATGAGTGTAGCTAATAACAATGTATTACACTAAGGCGTTAGATATCAAGTATTCTTACCACAAGAAAATGATAAGTATTTAAGGTGATGGATATGTTAATTAGCTTGATTGAATCATTTCACAATGTATACACATAAAAAAATCTTGTAAGCTGTAAATATATACAATTTTTATTTGTCAATTATACCTTCATAAAGCTTGGGTGGGAAAAGAATTGAAATAAGTAAAGATTTAATGACAAATTAAAATATATATAATTAAAAACAAGCAATCTTGCAACAGAAATATATTGAGAATTGCTGAGACATATTAAAATTAATTGTAGACAGAAATACGGAATTGTAGGGAAAAATGAAAGGCACCAGAATTGGTAGATTTTGGTTATATTTGAAGGACTATCGACTTTACAAAATGTAACGGTAATATCTTATTGGGGTTTAAAAGTATATAAGATTATAATGTATGAAAAAATAATGAAAAGGTAGAATAGGGTCAGTAGAGTGAAAGACTTAGGCAGGCATCCTCAAACTATGGCCCATGGGCCCCAAGAGGGTGTTTTTGCCCGTTTGTTTTTTTACTTCAAAATAAGATATGTGCAGTGTGCATAGGAATTTGTTCATATTTTTTTTTAAACTATTGTCCAGCCCTCCAATGGTCTGAGAGACAGTGAACTGGCCCTCTGTTTAAAAAGTTTGAGGACCCCTGGACTTAGGGATCTAAAAATATATGGTAACTGGTAAAAGGAATAATTTGTATTAGATTCAATAGTTAAACAGTTAATATAGAGAAGTTACTAAAAGAATAGTAAAAGGATATGTAACAAATAATTTAATTGATAAATAATGGTGTAATATAGATCAATAGCTTCAATTAATAGAGGCAATAAAGAAAAAAGAAGAATATATTGATAAAACGAAAGGAACAACATAACAAAAATTAGGATTCCAAAATTCACATAAAAATTCAAAAGATCAAGAAAAGACATCTTAAAATTGAAGAACAAGGCTGGTTATCAATACTTATTATAAAGCCATAGTAATTAATAATGAATGATATTCATATAGATAAATAGAGTTTAAAAATATAACGGAACAGAAGAGAATGAAAATTTCAGAAAGAGACTCATTCATATATAGCCATTTAATTTATGACAAAGATTATATTAAAGTGCATTGAAGAAAGTTCACTTTTTCAAAAACATAATGGGTCCATTGTATGCTAATATGAAAACAAAATTGAAGTTTGCCTCCTGTGCTCACACAATATATAAATATCAATTCTGGAGGAAACATATATCTAAATATTAAAATGACAACAATAAAACCCATTAGAAGAAAATATATTAATAATATTTAGGATTCATGTCTGTATATAGAAAATGATTTCTTTTAAAATATAAAAAAACAATATTACAAAGCAAAAAATGATAATTTGGACTGAATTAAATGAAAAATTTCATGCTGATTTTTAAAAATCCATATTAAAATGTTGAAAGAAAATTATAGGAAAATATAGCTTGCAAATACTAGACAAAAGAAAGACATTTTAATTATATTTAAATCAGACATATTAAAATTTAAAGCAGGCCGGGTGTGGTGGCTCATGCCTGTAATCCTAGCACTCTGGGAGGCCAAGGTGGGTGGATTGCTCTAGGTCGGGAGTTCAAAACCAGCCTGAGAGAGACCCTGTCTCTACTAAAAAAAAAACTAGAAAGAAATTAATTGACCAACTAAAAATATATATACAAAAAATTAGCCGGGCATGGTGGCGCATGCCTGTAGTTCTAGATACTCGGGAGGCTGAGGCAGAGGATCGCTTGAGCCCAGGAGTGTGAGGTTGCTGTGAGCTAGGCTGATGCCACGGCACTCACTCTAGCCTGAGCAACAAAGTGAGACTCTGTCTCAAAAAAAAATAAAATAAAATAAAATAAAAAGCAAACAAATTCCTAGAAAATAAACAGTCACTTCATAATGAAATTTTATTCACTTAAAATTTTATTCACTAGAAAGTTAAAACTATTTTAATTTTATGAATATTAAAACGAATCTCAAAATATATAATTTTCAATTTAAAAAATGTAAGGAAACTAGTCAATTTGGAATCATTGTGAAAGATTTTAACCCATGTACGTTACTAAGTAATAGAAAATGTAGAAAATCTGTCTGGATATGGAAGAATTTTATGATTTGATTGAAAAAGAATTTCAGTAGGTAATTGCAAAACACATTGCCATTTTCAAGTACATATAGAACATGTATAGAAAGTGAATATACATTACATCACAAAGCAAGAGCCAAAGACCTCTAAAGGATTAAAACCAGAGACTATTTTGTGATAAAAAAAAGTATTGTCTAATTATAATAAGAAATAATCAGTAGGACATGCCACACATAATGATACTAAAAGATACAAATAGGCCAAAGAAAAAGTGTAAGTTAGAAAGTATTTGCTAAGGATAAGCTAAAGAAAATTCTACATATCCAAAGACATGAGGTGTAGCTAAGCAGCATTTAGATTAAAAAGTTTGCCTTAAATTCTTAAAGTATAAAATAAAAATGGTTGATAAATAATCAACTTAGAATTCATTTGGGGAATTTATACACAAAGATAAAAATAAACACAAAGAAATTAAAAGCAAATCAATAATACAAAGATCACATAGATATTCAACTAAAAAACTAGTTCATGGAAAAGTAATTAAATTAACAAAGATATATAGTGAGATTTGTCAAAAAATTAAGAAAAGAATAGCTAATGCTAGAATGCAAGAAGGAAAATGACATCAAAATTCCTAGTCTTTGAAAAAATATGTGACTTAAATTGAAGTGTTAAATTAAAATGGAGCAATATCTAGAAAAACTCATAATGCATGAAGATAGACTCAATATGTAGAAAATCTGCATATTCATAAAACATTTAGTGGAATTAAATCTGCATTCAAAAGAGTTTCACAACAAGGAAATGCTAGCTGCAGCTGGTTTCACAGGTGAGTACTATGAGACACTCAACATTTCAGATAAAAAGAATAGGTCCCCTTCAAATCATGCTCCAGGGATAGAGAGAGAAAAGACCAGTACGGGCTGCAACGACGGGATGACACGAAACTAGTATGCAGAAGGTCTGTGCCTATCTCCCAGGATGCTCAGAGCCATGGCAGAGACCCTTGGCCAAAATAAAAATAAAATATACTAACTAGTGATTTTTTTTTTTTTTGAGACAGAGTCTCACTCTGTTGCCCAGGCTAGAGTGAGTGCCGTGGCGTCAGCCTAGCTCACAGCAACCTCAAACTCCTGGGCTCAAGCGATCCTCCTGCCTCAGCCTCCCGAGTAGCTGGGACTACAGCATGCGCCACCATGCCCGCTGAAATTTTCTACACTATATATATTAGTTGGCCAATTAATTTCTTTCTATTTATAGTAGATACGGGTCTCCGCTCTTGCCTCATGCTGGTTTCGAACTCCTGACCTCCAGCGATCCACCTGCCTCGGCCTCCCAGAGAGCTAGGATGACAGGCGTGACTAACTAGTGATTTATAATGTTCTATTGAGAGTCAAAAATTCCCTTGAGCATCCCTGAATTAGCTTGTCTATACTGTTTACTAAAACTATATAGATTAACTGTCTGCATAATTTTTACCTAGTCACATAGCCTGGTTCCAGGTCCTTGACTAATGGGGTAGAAAAGAACTGTCAGTGAACTTGTGCCTTGGGTTTCCTGATGATGAAGAGCTATCTTGTAGGTATCTTCCTGGTTGCTTGGTGATTTGCACTCTGGTGCAAACATGAGCCCTGCCTGATCTTGCCCTGTACTCCCTTGTTCCTACTTTTGCAGTATTCCTTTCTGTAATAAGTCTATGATATTTTTGTAATAAATCTTTCATGAGTCCTTTCATTTGTGCAAACCAGTGTCTTAACTAAAATCAAAAGTAAAATAATCCTAAATAAAGTATTAATAAATGCAATCAAATAATTAATAAAAAGATACTATATCAAAAACAAAAAAGGTAGGGCTCTTTCCTGGAATATGCCCAGGGCTCATAGTGTTGTTTTTTGTTTTTTGTTTTTTTTTTTTTGAGACAGAGTCTCACTTTGTTGCCAGGCTAGAGTGAGTGCCATGGCGTCAGCCTAGCTCACAGCAACCTCAAACTCCTGGCTCACGATCCTCCTGCCTCAGCCTCCCGAGTACTGGGACTACAGGCATGCGACCATGCCCGCTAATTTTCTATATAATTAGTTGGCCAATTAATTCTTTCTATTTATAGTAGCAGCGGGGTTTGCTCTTCCCTCGGGCTGGTTCGAACTCCGACCTCGAGCAATCCGCCCGCCTCAGCCTCCCAGGGTGCTAGGATTACAGGTGTGAGCCACCGCCCGGCTTCATAGTCTGTTGAGAGTGAATTCAGTGTCACCCTGTTTGTATATGAACTATTGGTCAAGGCCGAAACTAAGTAGCTACCAAGATACCTTGGATAGGGGCTGAGAGGGCTTGAGGGAGACCAATAACAACAGCCAATGAAGGCTTCATTACTCCACCAACAGGGACTCCCCAATATTACTCACTTCATTCTCATCAGCTGCACGTAACATGTAAAAACAGTGACATATTTGCATTTTACTTTTACTACAGATTCAGTCATTCATGTCTGAAATGTTTGACTTAAAACATTTCATTCGTTGTTACTTTATTGATATTTTGCAATAATGTTTTAAATTTTTTTGAGCCAAGGGTTATTTGGTGACCACTACTGAATTTGCAAATAGCTGGTGCTTCTTTGATTAAGCATTTGTAATTATGTTCTAACTTTATTGTTCTAGTCATCGATAATGGGATTACTATTCAAAAGAACAAACTTTTGTTCTAGTATATGATTTTTTTTTTGTTTATATGCATGTTGACTGCTCGTGTGCAAGAGAAGAACCACATTATTTGTAAGGTATATGATATGTGATTCACCAGTAATATCACCATTAATTTTATTGCATATTCTATACCATGTTTCCTACTACAAAAAGAGACAGAGCTTAAGAAATATTCTATGATTGTATTTTAATTCGGGTCTTCTTATATTTCGAACCAATTATACTTTATGTATTTCAGTCTATAATAAGCATCATAAATATATTTGTGATGGAGAAAGTCATTCATAACATGCTTTAGTCCTTATCACTGGCTTTCTCTCAGGCCCTTCACTTGGCATTCTAAAGTGGCACCTGTTTGTGAGATTCTATCTGGATCTCCCCTATGTATATCTTGCAAAAATACAGCATCTCTCTTTTACAGGAGGAAGTAATTTTGAGTCAGTTTTTGATACATGGCTTCAAACTTGTACCATCCATCTTACAGAAAACATTTTCCACAGTTTATGATGTATAAAATGTTAGGTCGGCAGCTAGGAATTCTAGAAATGATGCAGATGTATTTCTTACTTGCGTATTGATTTAGTAATTTCTGTCTTTCATTATTTTTAGAAGTCTATTCTTGTCACTTAAAAGTGGATCATTTAAATTTTGACTTGTCTTTATTCCTTAGTATGTTGTACTTGTTTTTCTCAAATTCCTCAACTGGCATGGGATTGAGTTTGGTTAATTACCATGGTAATTTAAGTCCTTAACACATTCTAACAGGGTATGTAAACTAATTACAAATTTTCCAAGATTCATGTTATTAGATATTAGCATATCTATCTTCTCACATAATAAGAATCTGCTATGATCTTTGAAATAAAAGTTGAAGATAAGGAAACTTAAAAACAAGCCATGGCGCATATTTATGTTTTAAGAAAGATAAAATTATCAAAATTTCATCCTCCATGAAACCTCTTAGATCACCAAATAGAAATCTGGAGCTACTGGGAACCAGAAAGACAGGAACATACACTGTGAATTCAAGTTATAGATATTTACTGCATAGACTTTTAAGTATAAAATAAGAAACACAACAAAAATAAGTAACTATGAACATTTTTGAATGCCAAGTAATTACATTCTAGATAATTACAAACAATAATTATAAATAGAACAAAGATAGTTGATAAAATAATGAAGATCACCTACTTTTGCGTTAGGTTCAGAATAAATATTTTTCCTTCAATTAAAACTTTGTAGGATACCTGGTAGAAGAGTACATTAAAAATGCAAAGAAAATTAGAAAAATGTTAGGATAGCCACCATTCTACACTAGTGATAATTACATTGTAAAATACACTAATACAATAAAAAGAGAAAAATTTAGAATTTAATGTTTATTTTAATAAAATTTTATATTAAAATGTCAGCTTTCATAATACAAATAATGGATGAAAGAACTCATGTAATTTCTTATTTGTTAATTTTTAAATTTATCCAATAAAACAGAATCTTAAAAATGGCTTGTTTTTATCCAATAATTGTGTTAGCTTAATAGTGAGGCCACTGAAAAACTTATGCTTAGACAGAATTTAACTAACTTACTCTCTAGAAATATATATATAGTAGAGTAAAGAATTAACCGTATATAATATATAATATTTATAGGTTTTTATAAATTTTATAAAATTTGTTCCAATATCATTGATTTATTTTATTAATATGAAGATTAAAAAATAGTGTCTGACAAATGGACAATTTAGTCTCTGTAGGTCAATTTGCAGAGTTTTGACATCTTTGCATTGTTGGACCTCCAATCCAAGAACATTGATTATTTATTATTTTTTCTCTTTATTTTACTCAGTGAGGAGGTTTTTCCTTTCTTTGTTAGATTTATTTACATTTATATTTTTTTAGCCAAAAACCAAGTGTCATACATTTAGATTTTTATGTAGTAGAAATTAAATCTTTTATAAATTATGTTTCACATTTTTTTGTTTGGCAGAATAGAAAATACCTGATATTTGTATCTCAATCTTCTTTTCAGAGAATTAGCTAAATTAATGTATTAATTCTAATTATCTCTAATTTATTTTGAATTTATTGTGTATACAATTATTTCATCTGCAAATAATGATAGTGTTATTTCTTCCCCTGCAGTTATTATGCCTATTTGATGTTTTTGTTGTTTTCTTTCCTTATTGCATTGGCTAGTACTTCCAGGACAATGGTAAGTAGAAAAAATAATAGTGAACATCCTTGTCTCTTTTGATACAGAGGAAAGCTTTCAATATTTGAATTTTATATATATTTCTTAACAGGCATTTGGATTTCTCTTTTAAAAGAAATTTTATTGTGTATATTTAAGGTATATAACATGATGTTATACATATATAGTAAAATAGTTACTATAGTGAAACAAATTAACATATCTATTATCTCACATAACTATGTTTTTCTCCTTGTGGCAAAAGAAGCTACGATCTACTCATTTAGCAAAAATTCTAAATACAATACACCATTATTAACTATAGTACTCATGTTGTACATTGTATCTGGGATGTATTTCTCCTCTGTATCTCACTATATCCACTTTTTCATCCCTATTAATAGTCTTTTATATTTTTATTCTGTGTGACTTAAAGACCATTTTTGCTTGATGGAACTATGGCTATACAAGCCAGTTGTTATTTACTGGTTTTTGTGTAATTTTTCTTATTTTGTGTTCAGTCTTCTTATTTCTCTATAATTAAGGTATATCTCTTATAGTTATATTCTTAAATCCAACCCTCAATATCTGTTTTATTTTTTAATCAATTAATCAATTAATTTAATTAAATATCAATTAATTTAATATTAATTTTATTATTATTCCCTACTAGATTGGGAGTTATACACCTTTCTATTATTTTCTATTATTTCTAATATTTTCTATTATTTTAATGGTTACATGGTTTAATATTACAATTTTATATTTCAATGTGGATTTTCTGGTTTGTTTGTTTTTTTTTCTTTTGAGACAGAGTCTCGCTTTGTTGCCCAGGCTAGAGTGAGTGCTGTGGCATCAGCCTAGTCACAGCACCTCAACTCCTGTGGGCTAAGCGATCCTCCTGCCTTGGCCTTCCTGAGAGCTGGGACTACAGGTGTGCACCATGCCCGGCTAATTGTTTCTTATATATATAGTTGGCATAATTTCTTTCTATTTTTAGTAGAGACAGGTCTTGCTCTTGTCAGCCTCTTTCGAACTCCTGACCTTGAGCAATCCACCGCCTCAGCCTCCCAGGGTGCTGGGATTTCAGGCGTGAGCCACCGCGCCTGGCTCCAATGTGTTTTGTTATACATAGTCACCACCACTTTTTCACCAAATCCCGCTTATATGTTAGTTTTTCCTAGTTTCAATTTCTCCCTACAGAAGTACATTGTTTTAATTATTTTCTCCTCTTTTAATCTGGAAATTGTTAAAACAGTATATCCTAATGTCTGAAGGATATTTTATATGAGCAAATGATTCCATAATCAAATTTATTTAAAGTCAGAAAATAGAAGCTCTTATTTCAATTTTTTCCTCATTCCTATTGTTGATTTTGAGAGGTCTCCTCTTAGTACATTTATCACTTCAGTACATATGTTCTTTCTTCCATCATGATTGTCTTTAAGGCATTTCATTTGTTTTGATATTCTGTATTCCACTGATATGCCAAGGTGTTACTTGACTTTTATTTATTCTGCCTTGGATTTGTGATACCTGATCTGAAGATTAAATTTTTTAAAATCATTCTTCAGTTAATATATGTTCAATATTACCTTTTTTGTCCATTTTTTCTCTCTCCTTCAGGAATGCCAATTATTCTATACTAAGCTTCTCATTCTACCCTCCTTGTCCCTTAGCCTTTTATATGTTTCCTTAGTCTTTTTAGCTATCTCCGATCTACTGTTAATTCTTGACTTTTATATTTTCATACTGTATTTTCATACTTCTACTTTTGGAAGTTCCATTCAGTTACTTAAAAAAAAATCACCTCGTCTTTTTAGGTCGAATCTTCTCTTCTTATAATTTATATTCTTTATTTATTAATTACAATAATTTTACAGAAACAATGTTTCATATTACATCTGTAGTATTTGTTAAATCAGTAAGTATATTTGCCTCATTGATCCAAAAAATATTCTTAATTCCTTACTACATATCTGAACTATTCTAGACAAGGGGATACAGGCATTAACAAAATACACAATATTTTCCCTTGTGAATCTGACAGTTGAAGATAGGTGTTTTTTCCTTTTTACTTTGCTTAAGGCAAATTACTATCTTTATAAGAGTCAGGTGATTCCTGTTTGAAGATATTTTTCTTTAAACAGAGTCTATGTTTATTTGCTAATTCAGTTAGTATTCCCATAATATTTTTGTATTTAAAAAACTCTCTTAAAATATTGTTAAAAGCCTCATCCTTTTCTTCTATTTAAATAAAGTTTTATAAATAGAAATGCATTCCTTTAAAAAATTTTTAACCTGTAATCTCTGCATTTGACAAGTAGACAGTTGCTAAGGAAATGTTTGCATTTAAATTACCAGAATATCTTCTACCCAACCAAAAAGAAAAATTAAGGTACGATGTCTCAAAAAACATCTCAGTTCTTCAGAAATGATTCTCGAATTTAGTAAAAAAGGCAAGAAGCTTTTTAGTTCAAAGAAAAAAAAAAAAGAGTAATCCTGAACTAAGATGAACTAAAACAACATGAAAAGAACAGTCTTAATCGTTGACGTATTTGCAATCAAGATGGAAAAAAAATCATTAATATAACACATCATTAAGTCAGATGATCATCATCCCATACAAGGAAGGTCTAGGCTTACTAAGCAAAAAAAAAAAAAAAAAAAAAAAAAAAAAAAAAAAAATCCCCCAAATATAGTCTGGTGAGTGAGTGAGAATTTCCAAATGGATAAAGCCAGTAATCATTCAAAGAACATCCACGAAGGAAACATTTAGAAGTAGGGACTTTGTAGGGAGTTTTGACATACAGCATCACTGCATCGTTTATTTCTATGAAACATTGTAAATCCTGGCTCGTTTTCAAAAGGGCTTTTCCCACTCAAGAAATATTGGGTATAAATAATAATAAAAAAAAAAATTCAGCAAGTGTGCATGGATAAAAATGGCCGGTTAACTTCTCAGGATTAAATTATTTACAGAATCTTTAAATCGTGAACAATGTTAATGGTTCTTTACCTCCACTTCAAGTCCTTCACTTACAACTGAACGCACTTTCACTGGCACTGTAACTTCCACAAGCAGTCTTTCAGAATCTGCAATGTGCAAAATGTTTTGTGAGAGCAATGCCCATCACCTTGCAGTTCTCCCATCTGAATGCATCATCCGCATTCCATACACACCTCTCATTTTTACCGTCTTTTCAGGTACGCTCAACTCCCGTTTCTCTCTAGGAATTGCAAGCGTTGGGGGTTTGGGGTCTTGTTTCGGTTTTGCTTTAGAGAGAGAACGAGGTGTGCGGTTGCAGGCACGCAGCGTGGGGGCGCGACCTGGCCACGGCGGGGCAGCAGGCCGAGCTCGGGCCCTTCCGGACCGGGGGACGGAGGGGCGTACTTACTCTGGGCCGCCCAGAGCCGGCCGAGCCAGCCCAGCAGAAGCAGGACGCGCAGCATGGCTCCACGGCCGGCCGTGGCGGTTGGCGCCGGGGCGGTTGGGAGCGCGAGGGGGCGCGCGGGGTGCGGGAGCCGGGCGGGTGCGTGCGGAGCGCCGGGACGCGGGGTGCGGGAAGCCGTCAGGTGCGTGCGGAGTGCCGGGACTCAGGGTGCAGGAGCTGGGCAGGTGCGTTCAGAGCACTGGGACGCGGGGTGCGAGAGCCAGGCAGGTGCGTGCAGAGCACGGGGTGCTAAAGCGGGGCAGATGCGTGCGGAGCGCCGGGACCCGGGGTGCGAGAGCCAGGCAGGTGCGTGCAGAGCACTGGGACGCGGGATGCGAGAGCCAGGCAGGTGCGTGCAGAGCTCCCGCCTACGGGGTGCGAGAGCCGGGCAGGTGCGTGCAGAGCGCAGGGTGCTAAAGCGGGGCAGATGCGTGCGGAGCGCCGGGACCCAGGGTGAGAGAGCCAGGCAGGTGCGTGCAGAGCTCCCGCCCACG